TCACCATGTTGGCCAGGCTGGTCTCAAACTCTTGACTTCAGGTGATCATCCCACCTCGGCCTTCCAAAGTACTGGGATTACAGGCGTGAGCCACCACGCCTGGCCTATCAGATAGTTTTTCTGTATAACTCTTTCTTCCTGGGAAGATGTGTCAGCCCAGACACTCCACATGAGTTTCAGGGTTTCTGGATTGATAGGTCTTAGGGTACAGAGCCTCTAGAGCTGAGCTGAGTCAATTTTTCTTTCCAGCCCCTAGCCTATGAGTCCCCAGAGACGCTTACAGGATTTCTGCCTTACAGTGTGAAGGGAGTCTATGGGTGAGTGATATTGGTTGTAATTGCCTAGCTCAGAGGTCAGAGGGAGAGGTAGGAAAGGAATGCTCAGTTACTGGCCGGCTTTGATGAGTCTGCACTTTTTCTAGGAACTTTCCAAGCCCCCATTCCTTAATGTTATCACACCACTTTGGGTTAGCACTGGGTCTGCCCTGCCAAGTGTCTGCTCTACATGTTCACAGAACAGGTAATAAGCCTTCCAGAAAACAAGGACAAAAAAAAAAGGATGCAACTTAGAAAGCTCCACCTGGGCTGATCCTCCATCTGTGGCCTCTGACCTTTTCCCACTCGAAGACATGTCATCCCCGGGTTGGGCCAAACCATCAAGGGTTTTGTTACTGGGAGCTGTTCTGAACTCCCAAATAGCTGGGATTTCAGGCGCCCACCACCAACTCCTAGTAGAGATGGGGTTTCACCATGTTGGCCAGGTTGATCTCAAACTCCTGACCTTAGGTGATCTGCCTGCCTTGGCCTCCCAAAGTACTGGGATTACAGGCGTGAGCCACGGCGCCCGGCCCAGTCTTTCTATTCTCTATCTCTGGAACTTCTTCTTTTTTTTTTTTTCTTGAAATAGAGTCTCACTCTGTTGCCCAGGTTGGAGTGCAGTGGCACAATCTCGGCTCACTGCAACTTCTGCCTCCCAGGTCCAAGTGATCTTCCTGCCTCAGCACCGCTAGCAGCTAGGATTACAGGCATATGCCACCATGCCTGGCTAATTTTTTAAATTTTTAGTAGAGATGGGGTTTCACCACGTTGGCCAGGCTGGTCTCAAACTCTTGACCTCAGGTGATCCGCCCACCTCGGCTTCCCAAAGTGCTGGGATTACAGGCATGAGTCACTGCCCCTGGTGTATCTCTGGAAATTTTATTGGATGAATGTTGAAACTTCTGGGATCTATTCTCCATTTCCTTTATTATTTTCATTTCATACATTCTATTTTGTAATCCTTTTCTGTTATACGGTGAAGTAGTGCCATGCCTGAACACATTTTTTTCATTGGGTTGTTCCAGTTTCTCTTATTGATATGCAAAAGCTGTGTTGTATATTAGAGACGGTTACTTTTAATTTGCTGTGGATGCTTCACCAATTTCCCCAAAATTTGCCTTTTAAAACAGTTGTTTATGGTGTCTTTTGAATTAGATGATACTTTAATTTTTACATTTTTAAATTTGTCAAATTCATTGTTTATAGCCTTGGTGTAATGTCAGGAAGTGCCTATGCCAACTCAAGATGTCTTACATGGTAATATTTTCCTAAATTTTCATCTAGTTCTTTATGACTTCACATTTTCACATTTAAGTCACTGAATTTTTAGAATTTATTATTTTATGTGGTTCAAAGTAAGGATTTAATCTTCATTTTTTCAAATGGATAGACACTTGTCAAGCAATCATTTGTTATACAACCCATCATCTTTTGTCCCTGTTTGGAAATGCATGCTGAAGTTTGCATATAGATTAGTCTGTTTCTTGACCTTCTATTTTATTTCACTAATAAATGTTTCCATGTGTTTTCATTTTTGATTGCTGCTGTAACAAATTTTCAATAGCTTAGACAACGCTGGGTATGGTGGCTCATGCCTGTAATCCCAGCACTTTGTGAGGCTGAGACCCGTGGATCACTTGAAGTCAGGAGTTCAAGACCAGCCTGGCCAACATGGTGAAATACCCTCTCTACTAAAAATACAAAAATTAGCCAGGTGTGGTGGTGCACACCTGAAATTCCAGCTACTCGGGCCACTGAGACAGGAGAATCACTTAAACCTGGGAGGCGGAGGTTGCAGTGAGCCGAGATCACCCCACTGATCTCCAGTTTGGGCGACACAAGTGAGATTCCATCTCAAAAAATATTTTTATAGCTAAGACAATTTTTGAAAAAGAAGAATGAAATGGGAGGAATTGCTCTACCACATTTCAGTACTTCTTATATAGCTACAGGAATCAAGACTGTAGTATTGGGAGAAGAATAGACACATAGATCACTAGAACAAAATAGAGAACCTAGAAATAGCCCCATACTGATTTTTTACAAAGAGACAAAAAGAAGGAAGGATCGTCTGCTTAACAAATGATGCTGGAGCAGTTGCATATCCATAGGCAAAAAAAAAAAAAAAAAAAGACCTAATCTTCATATTTTTATACCAAAAAAACCTCAAGTGGATCATAGATTTAAATCTAAAATATAAAACTAAAAAACAAACTTTTGCAGGAAAGCACAGGACAAATGTCTGAGATCTAGGGCATAGTCAATGGTTCAAAAAGCATAATCCATAAGGAAAACAAATAAATTAGATTACATCCAATTTAAAACTTGTGCTCTGCAAGAAACCCTGTTAAAAGGACGAAAAAACAGGGTCTGGACTAGGAGAAAATATTTGCAAACCACATATCCAAGAAAGTACTCACATCCAGAATATATAATGGATATGTGTAGTACTCTCAAAACTCAACGGTAGGCTGAGCGTGGTGGCTCAAGCTTGTAATCCCAGCATATTGAAAGGTCAAGGTGGATGGAGGGCAGATCCCTTGAGGCCTGGAATTCGAGACCAGCCTGGGAAACATCGCAAAAACCCATCTCTACTAAAAATACAAAAATTAGACTGGCATGATGATGCCCGCCTGTAATCCCAGCTATGTGGGAGGCTGAGACATGAGAATCACTAGAACCTGGGAGGCAGAAATTGGAGTGAGCCAAGATCGTGCCACTGCACTCCAGCCTGGGTAACAGAGCAAGACTCTGTCTCAAGAAAAATAATAATAATAATAATAAAACCTCAATGGTAAAAAATACAAACAAATAATCCAATTAGAAAATCATGAAAAGATGTGAACATACATTTCACTGAAGAGGAAACAAGCAAATAAGCACATGAAAAGATGCTCAATGCTTATTTGCTTCATTAGATACAAACTAAGACCATGATGTGGTATCACTACACACTTATTACGATAGCTAAAATAAAAGACGTAGTGAGAACACCAAATGGTGACAAGGATGCGGAGAAACTGGACATCTAGTAAAATGCTTCTGGGAAGGTAAAATCTTACAGCCACTCTGGAAAGCAGTTTGGTAGTTTCTTATAAAATGAAACATGTAATGACCATACAATTCAACAATTACACTTCAGAGAAATTAAAACGTATGCCTATCCAGAAACTTGTACATAATTGTTCATAGCAGCTTTACTGTAATAGCCAAAAGCTGGAAATAATCAATATGTTCTACAATAAGCAAATGGTCGAACTGTGGTACATCTGTACCATGGAATACTACTCAGTAATAAAAATGAACTGTTGACTGGGCCCAGTGGCTCACTTGCCTGGGAAACATAGCAAAAGGCAGGGTATTGCATGCCTGTAATCTCAAAGCTGAGGTGGGAGTATTGCTTGAGCCCAGGGGATCGAGACCAACCTGGTCAACATAGCAAAACGGTCTCTACTAAAAAAATCAAAAATAAAAATTTTAGTCGGGGTGGGGTGGTGCGTGCCTGTAGTCCTGAGATAGAGGCAGAAGGATTGTTCAGTGTGCTGGGATTACAGGTGTGAGCCACTGCGCCTGGCTGATTGTTGCATCTTGAAACGCCCCACATTCTCTCTAAGTGATGGCGGGCTCTTGTAGTCTCAGAAATTCTAGCTCTCTTCCTTCTAATAATTTACAAGTCACCCATTAATAGCCTCTAAACCCGTTCATATTAGAGATACTCATTTCTCTTCAACAGAACAGAACTCCCTATCCTTCTGCCTGAACAGATCCATCACCAGAGAGACCATGTTATCTCTGGGACTTTATATATTGAGTGGGAGTGTCAGAACGCCCCCACTCAATACAATTACACAGTCACATCTCTGCCTCCCCAACAAGGGTCTGTACATCTTTCAGCGTAAGCCTAGTCCCGGGGAAACTACTAACAACAGAAGCCAACCCCCTCCCAAAGACTCAAGGCTGCTATGCCCATAGGAAACCTGTCATCCCCAATCAACACTTCTCCCAGAGACCCCTGGCTCCCTGTTTCCATCTGACTTCTCCCCTTACTCACGGACAGATAAGCCCTGGATGGAGAAATGCAACACTGATTCCAGGTGACTGAGTGTGACCGGCCTTCACAGATTTCTCCCTAAAGACTCAGGCTGTTTCTCTTGCAGGTCAGACTGGTCTTGGTGCCGTTAACAGAGATGACGCCTGTGCAAAGAGGCCCAGGGATGATGCTCAAATACCAGAGAAGATACAAAAGATGAGGTGACCTGGAGGGGGCAAAGCAGTGGCCCAGGGGACAGTGGGAGTGAGCAGGTTTCTGAGGAGGGGAGGACAGAGATACTGGGGACAAGGAGCAGGGTCTCGGGGGAGATCAGGACCCTTGGGAGCCTCCCACCCTCACTCTGTCATCACCTAGTATCCCTGGAGACAAGTCTGTGACCTTGCACTTCATTTGGTGACTCTCAGTCCATTCTGGAAGGTGGGAAGAGAGTCAGCCAGCAGCATTAAAGCCCTACTGTGTGGCAGAGTACAAGCTAGTGTAGGTCCCCCATGTTCTGTCAGTTAGCCATGGCATCAACCAGGACAGATTATCATCCCCACTTCCCAGATCCAGCACCCAGGAAGCGGCTCCAGCTGAATGGCAGACATCCCTAACTGAGACACTGCCAGAATTCCTTTTCTTTTTTTCTGTAGGCCTTCGATGATATTGCCAAATACTTCTCTAAGAAAGAGTGGGAAAAGATGAAAGCCTTGGAGAAAATCATCTCTGTGTATATGAAGAGAAAGTATGAGGCCATGACTAAACTCAGTAACAGAACGTTCTAGGCACACACAAGTCTGGGGACACGTGAGCATCCCTTTTTCTGCTTTGGCTACTTTTTCGGCTGCAGAAAGTACCCCATATTTTCCTTTTGTGAAGAGAAAATTTGCAAGACAGCTTCTGGGTGTTCTGCTCTTCTGTATCCTGTCAGGGCCCAGGGCAGGGACTGGCCACAGTGGAGCTCATACCTGTATCCTGCACGTTTCTCTCCCTTTGGCGTCTGTTCTGATGAGCCCAACTGTCTCTGTGGCATCCTGGCACCCTATCCCCAACCCCCCAAACACACACACCTACCCTACCATCTTTCTCTTGGCTTGGCTCTCTCTCTTTTTTTTTTTTTTTTTTTTGAGTCAGACTCTCACTCTGTCATCTAGCTTAGAGTGCAGAAGTGCAATCATAGCTCACTGTAGCCTCGAAATCTGAGCTTCAAGCAATCCTTCCGCCTCAGCTACCATACAAGTCACCATACCACCACCATATATTTTTATGGATAATAAGTAAATGGTAAATGTATACAAACATTAATGTGAATAAAAAGCCATCAAATTAAGGTGACTGCCTGTAAGTGGAGGAGGGAAGGCAGGGATTGGTGAGTGCTGCACAGACAGCTTCAGCCGTGACTTGTTGATAGTGTGTTTTCTTTGTTTTTGAGGTGGAGGTTCACTCTTGTCGCCCAGGCTTGAGTGCAATAAGGCAATCTCAGCTCACTCTAACTTTCACCTCCTGGGTTCAAGTGATTTTCTTGCCTCAGCCTCCCGAGTAGCTGGGATTACAGGTGCCTACCCCCACACCCAGCTAATTTTTTTATTTTTGGTAAAGAAGGGGTTTCACCATGTTGGCCAGGCTGGTCTCAAACTTCCTGACCTCAGGTGATCCACCCACCTCAGCCTCCCAAAGTGCTGGGATTACCAGTGTGAGCTACCACGCCCGGCCTGTTTATAGTATTTCTAATATTCTGAATAAATAAATCAGACCTAACATAGCTGTGGGGCAATGTTGAGATCTGACTGGACTCAATATTATTTCCTATACTTTTCTGTGTGTTTGAAATATTTCTTTTTTAAAGAACATGTTGTTCTTCTAAGCACTGTTAATGAATCAAAGGACAATTAAGAAAATGTTACTAGTGAAAAAAAGAAAGAAAATGTTAAAACTGTAGATCCGCCAAAAACTTCCAGAGTTTGTCTCATTAACAGCATATGGGTATTGGATAGGTATCTTATGAGTGAGGGTGATGGACACATTATGTAATAAAGATCACTGTATTTTATCAAAACTAAATACTCTTCTCATTCCCAAACAACTCCAATTCTCCGTGATGAGCTTGGAAGTGAGTTTGAAAGAGTGATCCCTTTGCGTAGAGATCTTTGTGCATTTCAGGACTATTACGGGGACATATGTGTTTACTTGCTCTTCTGCTCTGACAACACAATTACAAGACAAGGTCAGAATGTCCAAACTGTCTCCAATAGACCTATTACTCCCCAACTAAACAGATCAGATTCTACAATCTCCCACCATCACTATAAGAGATCTGAAAATCCAGTGCTTGAGTATCTGCCAAGTTTTTGACATTAAAGGAGTGTCTTTATATTGAAAATATTTCAGAGCCACTGGACTAAATCATCCATGGTTCATCACACATTTAACAGCTTAATTGACATACCATAAGATTTACCCATTTGAAGTGTACGGTGATTTTTAGTTGTTGTACTTCTTGAGTGGATACAGTTCAGATTCCCAGCCAATCAATTTAATTTAATTATTTGGTAAAAAGTAAAAGATATGTAATGGAATAAGATGAGACTATGATGGGGTTTAGTCCCCATTTGATAAACGATGAGATGGATAAGTCCGAACTGATCCCACAGATAAATGGACCAACCATGACTAACCATAATTCAGAAGGAAATCTCAAATAACTCCTCAATAATGAGTGGACTCATAACCCTCTGCTGCAGAATGCCCTTATGCGACAGAAGTCTCTCTGAAGTTTGGAAATCTTTACGAACAAAGAAAAATTCTGATGTATTCTCTTTTAGTTGAACGTCCTCAGATGACTTTCAGCAGGCTACAGAGAATCTTCCCGAAGGTGAGTGTCTCTCAAATCTAAAGGACTAGAGAACCTTTGTCCCTTCACGGATGTGAACACTGGTAACAGTGGGAGAATATCAAAAATGCCCTCACTGCCTCCTTCCCCCCATGTGTATCACAACACCTGATGTAGCATCGACGGCTTGATAATACTAAGAGTTGTGATCCTTAATACTTCTTTTGTTTTCATAGAGATGCCAGATACTATTTTAAGCAGTTCACATGGATTAATTTATTTAATCCTTAAGGAGACCTCTATGACATTGTTTCTATTATTATCTCTAAATAATAATGAGTCACACACTTCGGTTGTCATCCATATAAAAGCCACGTGACTTGGTGCAAATCTTCTAAGTTCTCTGAGCTCCAGATTCCTGGTCCGTGAAATGGAAGTAAAGAATCATAGTTCATGTTTTAGATCATAGCTAACAGCAACATAATAATAAAATGAGGCTATCGGGGTACAGAGATGTTAAAGAATTTTCCTGGGGCACAGTGACAGGGGTAGTCTAATTCAGAGCTCCAAGCCATTTAAAGCTCATGCACGTTTGCATTTGTTTATGAAGTTCAGATGTTGCTCACTAGGGCTTTACCCCATAGGGCCTGCTGGTGCTTCCATTGAGACACCCACTCTCGCAGCAGGAAGGACCAGCTGGCCTCTGCTCTGTTACCCGGGCCACTCACATGGCTTAGGAATCGCTTTGACTGTTGGTCCCTCCCTACTGTGAGCTCCTTGAGTGCCTTGTCTGCACCTGGGGCATCCGGAAGCCCCAGTCCCAGCCCAGGGGATCCCTCGGAGGCCCCTGAATGAGTGACCCCACAAGTGCAGATTCAACTCTGGTTTAGAGGGTAAAGGAATCTGGGAGTTGGGTTGCCAGCGTGGAGACTGAATTCAAAGAGGATCATGAAAGGTATTAATTGTTATTATTACTACATTTAAACAGTATTTACAAGCTCAGAGAGGACTTTCCCTTAGCCTGTTTTACATGTATTGTTCACTATTTCATAAGTGAGAAAGCTGAATACAAAGCAGCTTAAAGACCGGGCATGGTGGCTCACGACTGTAATCCCAGCACTTTGGGAGGCTGAGGTGGGCAGATCACAAGGTCAAAAGATCGAGATCATCCTGCCCAACATAGTGAAACCTCATCTCTACTAAAAATCCTAAACTTATCGGGGCGTGGTAGCGCCTGCCTGTAGCCCCAGATACTCTGGAGGCTGAGGAAGGAGAATCGCTTGAATGCAGGAGTCGAATGTTGCAGTGAGCCAAGATGGTGCCAGTGCACTCCAGCCTGGAAGAGAGCAAGACAGCGTCTCAAACAAAAAAAAAAAAAAGAAGAAGAAGTAGCATAAGATTGGTGGTCAGTGACACATCCCAGTGCAACCAGAATTGTGATGAGTACCACCTCAGGTAATTCCACATTCAATGTTGGTGCTTCGGTAGGGTGGTATGCCGTATCTGGTACTGCTTTCTTTGCTGTCTAGATTAATTTCAACAAACCATTTATTTACCTCTCCCTTCCCTGTATTCGTCTCCCCACACCATCTTTCCCAGCAGTGTTTTGTCACCTCCCTATGTTTTACATTTACTCTCCCAGCAGCTGTCTACAAGCTTATATGGGATCCCTTGTATTTTACAGAACATCTTCCCTTTGTAGACCTTGTGAATTCTTAGAATGCTATTCTTCTCCAAATCTTCTGTATACAAAACTCTCAATTGCATGGAGATTTTTGCTGTTTGCAAGAATATCAGTCTTAAAAGAGTGTGAAGATAAACCTGGACACCCTATTCACTTAGGGCATTCCTTTCCCTTCTAACCTCCCAGGTTTCTCTTCATTTAGGCATGTGTAACTCTTCCAGCATTGTTGAGAACATTGACTAAGATAATGCATGTGAAGATGCTTTGTAAGCTCTAAAGCACTATAGAAATTTCACTGATACTGTTTATCTGTGACCTTCACATTACAAAGATCGTGCCCAAGAAGCCAGCAGAGGAAGGAAATGATTCGAAGGGAATGTCAGAAGCATCTGGCCCACAAAATGATGGGAAGCAGCTGTGCCCCCCAGGAAAACCAAGTACCTCTGAGAAGATTAACAAGACACCTGGTAAGAGGAAACAAATCGGGAACAACCCCTCTGGCTTCCCTGGCTATGTTCAGGTGTGAGGACTGGGTGTGTGGCATGGATCCCAGAGAAGCCTGGGTCCAGGCTGGGCTGAGGAGCTTGCCCAGCTCCAGATGAGATGTTAGAGATGACATCTAGAGACACAGACTGGAGTTGTCATCCATATAAAAAACCACGTGACTTGGGGCAAGTCTTCCAAATTTTCTCAGCTCCAGTTTCCCTGTCCATAAGATGGAAATAAAGAATCATAGTTCATAAATTATTTGGAAGTATTAAATTTAATCCTGAAGTCCTGATGACATGAAACGTGCTCAAGCAATTCTATCTTTGATAACCTGGGATCATGTCTTACTCAGCTCAATGCCTGATACCCAATACAGGTGTACTTCAGAGATATTGCAGGTTCAGTTCCAGACCACTGCAATAAAGAGAGCCTCACACTTTTTTTTTGTTTGGTTTCGCAGTGCATAAAAACATTATGTTTACACTATACTGTAGTCTCCTAAATGTGCGATAGCGTTATGTCTAAAAATATACATACCTTAATTTTAAAATAATTCATTGTTTAAAAATGCTAACAAACTTCTGAGCTTTCAGGGAGTCATGCTCTTTTTTCTGGTGGAGGGTCTTGCCTTGGTGTTGATGGCTGCTGGCTGATCAAGGTGGTGGTTGCTGAAGGGTGGAGTGGCTATGGCAGTTTCTTAAAAGAAGACAACAATGAAATTTGCCACATTGATTAGCTCTCCCTTTCATGAAAGATTTCTCTGTAGTATGTGATGCTATTGGATAGCATTTTACCCACAGTAGAACTTCTTTCAAAGTTGGAGTCAATCCTCTCTAGCTGTGAAAGGTTTAGATGGCATCACCTTCCAATAGAAGGCTATTTTATCTATATTGAAAATCTGTTGTTTAGTGTAGCCACCTTCATCAGTGATCTTAGCTAGATCTTCCGGATAACTGGCTGCAGCTTCTCCATCAGGCTTCTCCTTGCACTTTTATGTTATGGAGACAGCTTCTTTCCTTAAACCTCACAAACCAACCTCTAGTAGCTTCACACGTTTCTTCTGCAGCTTCTTCACCTCTCTCAAGCTTTCATGGACTTGAAGAGAGTTCGGGTGTTGCTCTGAATTAGACTTTGGCTTAAGGGAATATTGTGGCTGGTTTCATATTCTATCCTGACTTTCTCTATTTCAGCAGTAAGGCTGTTTTGCTTTCTTATTCTTCTGTTCACTGGAGTATTAGTATTAGTATTTCCTTCAAAAACTTTTCCTTTGCATTATATACTATTATTTCCTTCAAGAACTTTTCCTTTGCATACACAGCTTGGCTATTTGGTGCAAGAGGCCGAGCTTTCAGCCTGTCTTGGCTTTCAGCATGCCTTCCCCACTCAGCTTAGCCATTTCTAGCTTCTAATTTAATGTGAGACATGCGACTCTTCCTTTCAATTGAACACTTGGCAGCCACTGTAGGGTTGTTTATTGTCCTAATATCAGTGTTGCTGTGTCTCAGGAAATATGGAGGCCCAAGAAAAGGAAGAGAGAAGAGAAGAGCTCCTCGGTGGAGCAGTCAGAACACACACAACATTCTTCGATTAAGTTTGTCATCATCTATGGGTGCAGTTCCTGGTGCCCCCCAAACAATTACACACAACAGGGTGATTATAGGCAATAATAACTTAATCGTACATTTAAAAAAAACTAAAAGAGTGTAAATGGATTGTTTGTAACACAAGGATAAGTGGTTGAGGGGATGGAGACCCTATTTTCCATGATGTGATTATTACACATGGCATGCCGGTATCAAAGCATCTCACGTACCCCATAAGAATATACACCTACTGTGTACCCACAAAAATAAAAAACAAAAATTAAAGGCCTAAAAAACAACAAAGACAATGACTCATTAAAAACGGTGACTTATGCTGTAATCCCAGCACTTTGGGCGGCTGAGGCAAGCAGATCACTTGAGGTCAGGAGTTCGAGACCAGCCTGGCCTACATGGTGAAACCCCCATCTCTACTAAAAATACAGAAATTAGCTGGCTGTGGTGGCTGGAGCCTGTGATTCCCAGTTAGTGCAGGGGCTGAGGCAGGAGAATCCCTTGAACCTGGGAGACGGATGCTGCAGTGAGCTGATATCACACCACCGCACTCCAGCCTGGGAGACAGAGTAGGTTTCTGTCTCAAAAACCAAACAGCATCTCTTGCCTACAGTGGTTTGAGCTTTGGTCTTGTCTCCTTGGGTTTCTCTATCAGTCTGATCCCATCTACTCTATTTCCCAGGAATGCCTCAATATATCTGGTGGACCACTGACCTGTTTTCCTATTTTCCTCCACTGTTAAGAATCGACCCTTGAAAACATTTCTTCCCAGTTCAATGGAATGTTGAGTGGGGCACGGGATCTATCTGCCGTCTTGCTCCAACCATCTGGTTTTAGATATTTTATGTATTTTTGTCACTATATAAGTGTAATTTTTCTCAATTTGGTTTTCTAAATGGTTGTAATTGGTATGTAGAAGGCCTATTATTTTATATAATATATTGTTTCCTGTCTGGGTGCAGCTTCCCCTGCATTTTGGCACAAGACTCAATCTGTTTTATTCTCCAAAACAAAACTGACAGGCTGTGTGTGGTGACTCACATCTGTAATCCTAGCACTTTGGGAGACCTAAGCGTGTGGATCACCTGAGGTCAGGAGTTCAAGACCAGCCTGGCCAAGATGGTGAAACCCCATCTCTACTGAAAATACAAAAAAAAAAAAAAAAAAAAAAAAAAAAAAAAAAAAAAAAAAAAAATTAGCCGGGCATTGGTGTGTGCCTGTAGTCCCAGCTACTAGGGCAGCTGAGGCGGGAGGATCACTTGAACTCGGGAGGT